GTAGATTTTGCCTATACGATATTTGATTTCCAACTTCTTTGGTAAAACAACCACCTTTCCATGCCTGTTGATGATACCCTGAGTAAATCCGTGAACCTACAGTTTGAGCGTCTTTGGATAGCCTTAGAAATACAGATTAATTTGGAGTCCAAAAATCTTCATCGCGCTGCAAAATAGAGAAACACGTTTGCTTGTCACATTCTTCGCGTTACAGTTTTCATTATATAATATCACAACCATTATGAAACAAGTTATTTCAACTTATATGAATCAATATTGGTGGCCCGTATGGATGCGAGCAGAGGGTCTTAATGTGAGAGGAAATAGTTGTATTCAGAGAAAGCCCACGTGGTCTGGCAGGTGACCTATTTACCTTTTCACGTCCGGTCCGGGAATCGAACCCTGTTCGTCTTTCTGAAAGGTGAGTGCGCTATCAAATGTGCCACCAGACAGGCCACATTTTATTCCCGAGGAGATTCCAACGAGACAGCCAACAATTGCTTTATAAGTTAGAGCTGTATGTCGAATGCCTATGACTTTCCAACTATCGCGTTCCAAATAAGATATTCATTTCCCTCAGTTAGGTCTCCTCCTTTCTGGCATCCTCCCGTTCTTCGTTGACTGCAATAATTGTTATTTCAATGGCCTTCTGACGCTTCGAGGAATATTTCTAGACAATAGGTGGCCGTTTAGTGGTGTCAACAATCACCTACATACAGTAGAAGAATTCAGCGTTCATTTTGTTTGACCCTGCTATAATACCAGTGCCGCCATACCATTGGGATCTAGTCTAGCACTTCGCCTATGATGCCGTCGCAACTCGTTTATCGTTAGAGTTGTTCTTTATTACTGTTGACAGTAACCTCAGTTTCCCGAATACAAAGAACAAAGTTTGTTGTTAGTTCTTTATTTACGATAAATAACAGTTTTCAACAATGGCCTAAATTTTGTTTTCTTGAACCACAATAATGCTTGACCCGTCCAATGACTTGATCATGTAAGACGTAAACGAAAGAATCGTTATTTCAAAACATTCTATAGTAGATCTGTGGGAAACGGTATTAGTTCACAGGGCTTCGATTGCGAGGTTTTGATGATCTCTCGCAACTTGTCATGTGGCAGTGGTTCGCCATTGAATTGGCTGTCATCAGTCATAACAGAGATGGCATTGCAAGCATTAAAATTAGCATCACCAATATTTTGTCTTATTGTGAGGATTTTTTTCAGGAGGTAATATCTTACCTAGTATAACAAGACATTTTCATATGGTTTTAGGTAAGTCTAAATAGTTGTTTCTGGTCCGTGCCACATTCTGCGATTTTTCACCATCGAATTAATTATCCTGCTTTCATTAATTTAGCGAACTAACTAGCCGACATTGTTCTCGGATTATACTTAGTCATTTGTGAGCGTCTCTGTGTTTCTCTGCGATTCTGCTTTTTGTTGTATTTTGCCCTTTTGTGCTTGTCATTGTACCAAAGAGCATTTGGGTTCCTCACAGTAATCACCATTGTCTGAAGAAGTGCATGTTTCTCAATCACAGAGACTTTACCTTCTGTAGATGATGGGCTGGAGAAAACTGAATGTCTTTGATGAAATCTAGCGCAGAAATTTCGCAGTATTTCCGGAATATGACTTCCTTCCTTGTTACGGTCTGGTTTGGACAGCATGATGTTCACCAGAGCGGCTTCTCTTAACATCACTCAGACACGAATTGGTGACCACATCCAATGTGTATGGCTATAAACGTGGGTAGTGTCTATTACATGTTGTACGAGACCCTGATAATAGAGTTTCCCGTAGAACTGACGAGTAACATTTGTTAGATTGCGTCCACATGGAAATAACGAACCCATGGCCTCTTGCTTCGTCGGATACCCATTGCTGAGTGAGTACCGAAGCGAAATCAACCGTGGGTATCCGACGATAGACCTATTGTAATGCTACAACGTGTTGGTCTTGAAAGGTAGACCACTAATCGAAAAAAATAGAATTTCGGAAAATCTTCCGTTTAGATGGAGGAAGTCTGAATATCACACTTAATCCTCATTGCCTATAATCAACAGTGACAGAACAAGTCACGTGCTGTAGGTGTGTGATCGTTCGGAATAAGAGATATCTCACACCTATTCCTTTATCATACGGGACAGTCACTCCGAAACTATGTACTTGACAACCAACAGGTGAACCCGTAACAAGGTCTCTGTTGTTGGCAGAATATCTATATCTATATATACATGTTATGAAATTAACTTCCTCGATACTCCAGGGACAACGCTCATGTTTTTCTCTCTGTACCCATGGTATATGTCATGGAAAAACTAAAGGCATGCAGCTAGCTATTTGATTGGTCTCAGGTAAAACAAAACCTAACTAATTGTTAGGCTGATACCTGTCCTCTGAAGATTACGGGAAGAAATATCCTACCTCAAAGTCGATCATGTTTACCGTTACGCTGCAGCGAGATTCCTTTGACATACATTAATGAGCAAACTAGTGTTCTTATATTATCGACAAGGTGGAACACAATAAGTCTTAAGATTTTTTCATAACATATCAGAGGGCTGCAGAGAGGTCCTGTTTTATTGGAGCAGGGTCGGGGATTGTTACACAAATCTATGAATAGGGGAATCCCCACGTCTCAACCCTATGGTGAGACAAGGAAATTTCACACCGGTAAAAGTGCGGATACGCATGTCTCTACCCACTTCAGATATTAACAAATCTTCACCCAGGTTTATACAAAAGCTAATTGTTTAATTATTATTTGTATAGATGTTTATAACTTGTTTGTTGTAGTAACATGCGATGTTCATTTAATTGCTTTTCAACTTCTTTTACAAGTTTATTGGTATAGTTTTGTCAGTGGTGTTCTAACTAATTAGCACTGTTGTTGCTTATTCATAAAAAGAAAAGTGATGTTGTTCCATTTCGGACCTTGAAGATATATTTACAGCACACTTTCTAATTTCAAGAACCATTTTACAGATTTTGATATTTATTTGCTGAAAAGGCATTTTAATGAGAAATGTAAAAAATACATGTCAATGTGGTCCTGATAAGGAATGTAACGATTTTTCCCATATCCAAATTGGCCTATCTGCGTTATTACTCATACACTGTTAACGACAATTGACTCTTTACAGCGACTTCTTTAACCGTTGTTGTAAAGTCGTATGGCGGATGTTCGCGAAAATTTCCCCAAACGAAGGCAGTGGATACAACAATGAGGATTATAGATGTCTCGGCAAACGTGGAAAATGAAGACAAGGGATAGTTTGTTGAGGTGCTTATATCATTTAAAACATGGCGGTTTCTCCGTTTGATATTTTTTTGATACATTTCGGCAGAGCCAATTAATATTGAATTGAGATTTGTCTCGGGAAACTATAGGTGGCGCCCAATTTTATACACATAGAGTGATGTCAATAATGGGAAATGTGTGCTATTATCATAAAACAACTCATTTATAGCGCGGTTGAAAAGCATTCAAGCTCGTCGTTTCTGAGAAGACAACAAGCGGTCAGAGTGGCGAAGATGTTGAGTCCATGTGTGTCCATTTATTAGTGCAACTATTTATTTAACCTGAAACATAATAATAATTTTAATTTCAACACTAAAGTGGCAGGGAGTTACATTTCTCTCTTTTAATCAAAATTTGACTAACAGAGGTAAAATATACACATGTATTCTATCCTTTTTGGGTTTGTCAGGGATTGGGAGTGATTTTTAATAATTTATTCCATTTCTTCCAAGAATTTTCCATTTTTAAAGCAGTATCTACTCCTTTGTCTATAATAATATATTTTTGAATTCTGTAGTGATCTATAAAAGCATTTTTTAAAGCATGAATTGATAGAGTTTGTTGCAAGCATCTTGATATATAGATATACTGTTTCATTATAAGTAGAATAAGGTTATCAGTTGTATAGTAAGTACTTTTATAGTTATGCATGCAAAAAATGAAATTTTCCTTATTAAAAGTAAATGGAATAAATAATGAGTCTAATAAAAATTCAAAGTTCTGAAAGAATGACTACTTTTTCACACTCTCATAGCATATGAACTATCGTATCTATTTCTGTTTTACAAAAAAAAACAGTATGGAGTTTCTACCAATTCTATATTGTAACCAGTGTAACTTAGAATTTTTCGAAACTTGGAAGGGTGTTTTATATATACAATTCCATGTTTCATCATCTAGATTAAAAATTTCATTCCACTTTATTTTATATGTTGCTGTGATATTATTTTTGCAGAGTATTTTGTAGAAGTCCTTTGACCCTTTAATATTTTTAAAGAAAATCTCAAGATTAAGTGGAATAAAAGGATAACTAACAACATCATTATCTATTTTCTTATGCCTCAGATATTTCCTTACTGCTCTAACTATTCCTTCAAAGGTAAGCAAATTAGTTCTTAAGTTACATTTCTCCATAAATTCCTGATAATTATAAAAAGTACTTGTTTTCGGGACTTTTATTATATCATTGATAATAATTACCCCCTTCTTATACAATTCTTTATAAAATACAGTTCTATTTTCTATTGTTAAAAATTTACTATGCCAAAAGGTGTTAGGAAGTTAAAATTAACGACTCCGTCAAACAATTAATAGCAACACTAAATAACAAAAATTGTTAAGACATTTTATTACGTCACAGCTACCTTAATATCTGTTCATTTGGATGTACCAAATGAACCATGACCATAAAACAAAATACACAATTAAGAAAATACGAAACAATGTCTTAGAAAATACTCGGGCACCGACTTCCGGTAGCTGTTCCTTCCACTGTGCAAATGACCTATGGTATTTACGCCCAGGCCTACCTCGCCTACATTGCAATAACTAATTTTGATAACCACATGCGTATATTGTGTACACAATAAATTTGTTACAAAGAGAAAATCAAAATGCCAACGAATTATAATGCTTTTTGTTAACGCATATAACAATAGAGACTTCGATTGACCTATTTTGAACACATTGATAAATCGGCAGGAGGCATTTAGAACAGCAGAGGTCAAACTTCATCAGCGTGTCATTAGATTGGCATTTTACGACTTCCAGCGAAGTAATTTTAGAGCGAAACACTTCCGTTCACAGGGAATTAAGTACAATTGTTCGATTCAAACACATCTTAAGGTAAGATATTAACCCATTTTTGGTAAAATCGTTGCGATATGTTGGGATTAAACCCTGCACTACCGGTGAAGTGGAGGAGGCATCCATGTTTTCTGGACTGCCTGCTTGAAATACACAACCCGACGCAAGCATGGTCTCTGATAATCAAAACATTGTGCATTCTGCTTCTATTATGCTTGATATCAGTGTATCTTTGTCTTACCAAGGCGGGCATGTCTTACAGGGTCTTGTCATGTCCAAGTGTAGTTGTAATCTGGGTACGATTTAATTTTATGCATCATTTTTGTCCGAGAAAGACTTGACACATACGAGATATTATGGCCACCGGGCCCATGTTATCATCTTTTGTGCACGCTTATAGAATGTCTTGCGATACTGTATTTTTACGCAGTTGCATATTAATATGGCCTGGACTATAAATTTTACAGGAGGCATTTGTCGAACTATATTACTTGGTCTTTTCGTTGGAAGTAAAGGCCCAGTTTATTTTGAAGTCTTGAAAATTAAATGAACAGTGTGTATAAGGCTGTGTTGTAGTACTAATCCTCTGTATTGATTACTTGATGACAGGTTACATGCACGGATATTTATATGTGTTGTTAAGAAATTGCATACACACGACAGGGATCTTATCATAAGGAGATATCTCCATTAATACAAGTTTCTCCCAGTGTTAACCAGAGAGGTCTGCATACAGGAACCACATAATAATTTGTACAGTTCCGGTGGCTGCAGAGAAGCTTTATGTATACTTCTTAATCAGATATATGTAATTTAAATATTTGGGTGGTTTTTTTTAATCAGAAAAGCTTAAACTGTTATGACATTTCTGCTACTTTTCATAGAGTATTTTTAATCGGATACTTATAAAAACATATTTTCTACTTTTTTCATACAGAATATCTGGATAGACTTAAATACATTTCTTATGATTAAAATTGCACAAGCAAGAGCTATCAGCTGCAACCATGTGTAATTGACCTTTCCCTATAACCATATATAACACATCATTAAATTGAAATCTATTTATTATCCTACCCGACCTGATCTGAACCCCTATATTCATGGTTTGTCATTCTTCTTTGTACCTCTACTTCTTGCCTCCATCACAAACAAGCCTACCTGTTTAACAGGAGAAAAAGAAATGCAAAGGCCAGACTTGGGTTCGAACCCGGGACCCTTCAAGCTCTAGACGGATGCTATACTAATGGAGTTTTGTATACCTGGTCAATGACAATCTACCTGGCCCACTTCCTCTACACCCCTCTACAACTGTATACCTCCATCTTTTCATCCATTTTTGCTCATAGAATTAAACTGGATTGCTTCCTTAGTAACCAGTTAGCTAAAAAAAGATGAACAGCTGTCTAAAAGTTAAGAGTTGACTTTGTGTAGTTCTGATGTTTACCTATCCTGTTACAGCATGCTAGCTTGTGACAACCCTTTTCCCAAATACTGGGTGAACACTTGGCAAGCTGGGGAACATTGGATATCATAACCTTGGTTGTAAATCATGTTTGAAGACTTAAAGGAAGACATGTAAAGAAAAACTGGACTGGGTCAACAATTGGTGACTGGATAGCTATATTGATTAGTAAGAGTAGACCTGGGTTCAAATCCTGCACTGACTACATATGCATATTTCTTCTCCCATTCCACGAAAATTTGTCATCCTGACTACCTACCCACTATCTCCAGACAGACACTTACCACATTACTTCCCCCTCCACAATCAAAGTTCCACCCAAATTATTTGTCATCTTACCAGCCTCTCCCCCTTAAATCCACACACTCAACTATCATCTTAACTTGCTAATCCCTGGTGCCTATAATATACCTGTCACCATTTGAGCAATCCCTGTCCCCCACTTGAGATTCCAGGATTCTACATGTCACCTTGTATACCCCTCCACCCCCAAAGTCACCTTCAGATAACCTTAAGCATCCTAACAACATTTTTGTCATTTTGAGCCCCCTCCACCCTGTAAATCACTTTTATCACAAGCACCCCCCCCCCCAACCCCCACTCCCACCGTGTCGCCTTCAACACTTCTGTCATTCACACATTTCTTGCATATTTTTATTTTTCACCTTCAACCTCTTACAAGATGATGGATCCATATACAAATTCTTGCATACACCCAGGTCAACATCTCATTTGTCATGTCCTCTTTTTGTCTCCTAGTTAAACAACAATCGTGTTGTTCATTAGATATCAAGTTCTGGAATCATTTTACAAAATGTGCAAGGATGCATATATTTTAGGCAAAAAATTGTGAGCTAAGTTTTCATTTCGGATGTTATGTCAGGTTTATTATGTAACCGATATTTTCTTGAAAATTAATTAAAATTTTGTAAAATTCTGATAATGGCAAAAAGTTCATTCAGCACCCTGTATAATATCATAATGGATTTGTTATAATACTTCACATGTATATATAGCATACTTGATCAATAGATTGTGTTTGTTTACCAGTATGGTTGGATATCGACTAATCTTTATTCAATATATAGTACTGTTGGTGTGGATTGTGAAATATACATAAACTTTCTATCATTTCAGTAAATATACAGAACTGTCAAAGAGTCGAGAGACTGTCTGGACAATATCTGAATGGTTTTTTTCATGGATCACTTCTGATTCCAAATTTTCATTTTAGAATATATATATATATGATACAAGGATTGAAACAGAAATTTCTCCTTCTTCATGATGTATTATAATTAGAGAAAGTTCCATGCTACAAAAAAGGGAAAACATGGTATAAACAGAGAACAGGCAACCTACGTCTAAATTAATGTGTTAATAAATTATACCCATTCATACCACTTAAATATGGCAAAATTCCAGCTTTACTCCTTATACATTTAATTCCCACTCTTTTGTATTGAAAGTGAATGCATTGAAAACATGTAATGATGTGAATTTCCAAAACTTGGGAATGCATAGTAACACTTGCTTAAAAACTGCAGATCTGGTGTGAGCCAAGACAGGCCAAATATCACAATCCTGGACTCTCATAGTTACTTGCCAACATTTAACTCTCGCTATTTAGGAGGGAGAGTCTGAATTTTAGGTCCTTAAATTTGTCATGTTCAACAGTTAGTTTGCTAACCTTTTCATCTGAAAGAACAACTCAAAAGTTGTCATTTGAAAGAGTTATTTGTCTCAAGGGGGTATACACACACACATTGTATTTATATTTTAATTTTGTACATGAAGAATCTCCCCCATGGAAATTTCAAAATTGATGGAAATGTGATTTAAATGCAGGCTCCAATAAGGGTAAGGATCCCCATACCATTGCCAAATCTGAAGTGCCCTAGCCAATCTGTGTTATAGCTATATCCAAACGGAAGTTAAGGGGAGGCTACTGTATATAGGAAGGGGAGGTTACTGTATATATAGGGAAAACCACGGTGCAGTGGGACAGGGATAAATTAGCATTAGTGAGCAAAGAGTGAAAAAAATAGCGTAAAATTGTTAATACTGTTAACTTATCCATGTCCTAAGTTCCATTATCATGTAACTGTACGAGACATTTTACTATAAATTACGGGGCAATAAAAATGTGTAACACATTCTGCCTGATCAATTCCTAGTCATAATGTGACTAAATCCACATCGATATGCTTTATTCATTTTGTATATATCGTTGTCTTGCACGGCTAATTAGGTTATATTGGGAAAGTGTGGTCTGTCCACTTTAAATTATCTTTATCTTGGATTGAATCCATTTATTATGTAAAGCATTGCTAGTTTAAAAATCAATATTGTGGTGCTAATATTTACATTTGACTTCGAAACAGTCTCTTTCACATTTGCTGGAATCAAGATTATACACTCTGAAAGAATATTGTTTTGCTACTAAAATGTATAATTTTCTTATGCATGGATGTATATAAATTCATGTTATATTGATTGCCAGCAATTTATTAAAATCTCTTTTCAATATCAACCCTGGGTTCTTTTGCATGGCTTCCCCTTTTTCTTGAAATAAAACCAGAGTACATTTTAGGCCAAAGTAAAGGACCAATTTTCATTTGCAAAAAATATATGAGATTTTTCCCAATTTGTGCCTTTATTAAATTTCCAATAGGGAAATCTAAAATAGATAATTGCATAAAATTAAAGAAAACTCCACATGAATGACCGAGTTCTCAAAATGCAACATGTATGTATAGAAATGACAGAATTATCATGTTGTCATAAAAATAGGTTTAGATAAAATTTAAACAGTCTAAATCCATATATAATCATTCAAATTTCCGAAACTGGTCATTTTGTTGATGTCATTTCCCCCCAATTCATACTAGGATCCTTTTCCAAAACTCACTGATAATCCTCTGACTCTGGGACTTGATTTTCATCACGAGAAGGTTGAGATGTACAACAAAAATTATCATGCAAAATATTGACTGATGAAGTAGAAGATCACTGCTGCTTTAATACAGCAATTAAGTCACTTTGTAATAGATTCAAAGGAAGTACAAGGACATTTGCACTAACCTGAGGGATTGTTTTTTAAATGGAGAATCAGAGTTTCTTAATAAAGTTGAGATTGGAAGATGTCTCCGAAGATGTATCAAGGGCATTTGGGCAAGTATATATGTAATATATATGGTCTGGTCTGGAAATTGCTGATAATAGATGGCCAGATTTTAATGTGTATAGTGTGTGGTGGTAGACCCCCCCTGGGTACTCTACTGTAGTCAGATCTAGATGGAGAAAGTGTTCTGTTGACAGGTGGGATATCTCCTGAGTGCAGGTGAGTTAACGATTAAAGCTAACAGGTGTACATGGTGTATGGACACGACATTTCTAACAAGTCATTTGATGTGATTCCAAGGTAGGTTTAAGTGCAGCTAGGGTTACACACACATGCAAAATTTGCTATTCCCGTAAGGTAATAGGGGGGGGGGGAGAGTTTGTGCACTACCAGAAAAGTTATAGAATTTTGACTGTGACTATTTCACCTGGCTCCATACCCAGTCATACA